GCCAGAAATGCCTACCCCTCTTTCCAGCACAAGGCATACATAAGCGGGGGGTAAATTTATCCTCCAGATTTGCAATAACCATACACCGGCTATTTCCTCAAGACACTCTATTCCATATACCTTTTACCCGTGCTTCTCCTACACTATGGACGCCCTAGTGTATGTACAGTCCGTATGATGTCAGAAATGCTTACCCATCTTTCCGACTCAAGCCATACAAAAGCGGAGGGTAAATTTACCCCCCAGATTTGCCGATCACGCATCTTCGTGCCTGCCAACGAGTGCACCCGGGTTGTTCCAATGTACCCTTCCCAGTCAGCGATGTCACATTTACATTCTTTAGCGCAAAGTATGTACATAGCAACCTTCCTCCCAAAACATGTAATCCCTACATGCTTTGCCGACTATGTAACTAGTACATCCGGTGCGATTCGGCTAGCTTTCGACCTCTCCCCCTGGCCTCAAGTTGAGTGGTACCTTCAAGTCACCATTCTCAACCATGCTCCATCAGTCTTCCATAGCAATCTCTGGGCTGATGTACTTTTGAACTGAAGATCACATTCTCTTTGACACTTTGAGAACCATCAAGGTCATGCAAGGACCTTTCAACACTTTTCGCCCCCCCAACGGGGATACGATTTTTGTGCGCATCTTGAATCCCCACTATTTGCCGCGCTCAAAGGGAATAATGCTACATCAGCTCCACTGTCAACAATGGTGGCCACATCTTCATTCTCTTCCCCAAGTCTCCTCACCATGGGTTCTTCGTCTGAGATGTCCACCGCCCTGCAATCTTCCATCTCTGGCTCACCATCATCATTTCCAACGTAGAAGTGAATCACTCGAATTCCATGATCTTCTACCTCCTCATCCCTTTCTTGCAAGTCAAAGATGATTGGCTCGTTGTTCTCAATTCTCCTGGCTTGGTCTCTGCTGAACTACCCTGCTGGCTAACATGGCTTGTTGTTGAGTATGAGTAGTCACTGATGCTGCTCCTCCTGAAGATGAATGGGCTGGATCGCTTGCAGCCTGTTGAAAAATCTTCCTCCAATAGTCTTGAGCAAGATGTCCTGGCTTTCCACAAGTGTAACATGTTGCCACGCATTTACCTTGTTGGTCTTTACCTGTACCTTTGCCCTTTTGATCGCTTTCTTTTCCATGTTGGCAGGTGGCTACGCCGAACGGGTGATTTCATCTTTGAACACACCATGAACGACTATGTTGCCAGCAGGTTGAAACATGCACCCTGCACCATCAAGGCGGCCTCCATGACCTTTTTGACCCCAGAGGAGGAAAGCCAGCTTCGGGGCACCATCGCCTCGATCAATTGGGCGTCGAGAGAAGGAATTCCAGATGGAGCTGCAGCAGCAAGCATTTTGAGTGGATGTTTTCCCAACCCCACTGTCAAGGACGCCGTGGACGCAAACCGTGTTGTTGCCAAGCTGAAGGGCCAGCTCATTACATTGAAAGTGCACAGCGTCCCAGAGGATCAAATCAGGCACATTGTCATAGCAGATGCTGCCTTCGATCAGACTGGACGTGTGAAGCCGCAACAGGGCTGGATCCAAGGAGTGACAACTCTGGCAATGAATGCTGGAAAGCTGGCTCCGATTTCCTTGATAGGTTGGAAGAGCCGCCGTCTTCGGCGGAAGGCTGGATCGACGATGCTGTGTGAGTCGGTGTCGCTCAGCACGGCGTTGGGAGCATTGGAAAAGCAGTTGAGCATGTGGCGATCCATCTGTTTTTCCCGGTTAGATGTTCGTCAACAAGCTGAGGAGGATGATGCCGGAGGACTTCAAGGGGCTGCCACGGTCATCGCTTTGGAGGACCAACTTTTTCTCCGATCCGGTGTCGCTGGCCGTGGTCGATGCCCATTTACGATGCCAGCGCGACAGAACAGAGTGAAGGCGCAGATGATAGAACGGCCTTAGAAACGGCCATCATCCGCGAACGATTGAGAGGCGGGTCCGTTGGATTCCTCACAATATTAACCCTTCGGACTCGCTAACAAAGTTGTTGCAGGCTCATGAAAAGCCACTCCTCGACCTGCTCCGAACAAACATGTTCAGGATTCAGGAGGAGAAGGGAATCAACGCCTTCATCGCATGAAGACGATCGTCAAGCCAATGAAGATTTTGGGGGCTGAGGAAGTCGAAGACTCATGTCATGACACTTGTTGGCTTGACCCTCATGAGTTCATGCTCCCATGGCCGTATGGCCCAGTAACCAGGCCTTGAGCTTAGTGTGCTGCGCCATGAAAAGACGCGTATGAGATCGTCGTTGTGGGTTCGTTCATGAACTTGAGTTGAGTGTTGGATTGTTTACATCCTACCGTTTCAGCTGTTTCAAGACTGATTCCTTTTTGTGGCTTCGTTTTCCTGGTTGGGGTACGCTGGAATAATTTTCATTGGCTTAGACTGGGAGTTCAATCTGATAATAGATGTTTTTTCAGACTCCACCAACTCTTAGAACACTTCAGAGTCTTCATTGCACGATCTTCTTGACCAAATGCGACAGCCATTTTGTCGTGAAGCTTGGTATTGCTCTATAGTTGGGTAGTTTGGCGCCAACTGTTTCTTCCAAAAGGAAAATTGCCCACGGGCACTATTCTCCACTCTTCCTTCAGCTTGAGTCTTGTTGGCTGGCCAAGGGTGGGAGGGTGTGCAAGAGGGGTTCCAGGGCGCGCTTTACAGCTTTGTGTTGTGTGTACATACGCCAACTTTGGATAGAGTCCGTTTCGGCAACTGCGCAGGATTCAGCGACTAGGATTCCGCAACTGGGATTCCGCAACTAGGAGTCCACACCTGGAATTCCACAACTTGGGTTCCGCAAACTGTTTGGACTCCGCAACTGGGACCTTTCCAGTTCAAAACAACAGTTTCAGACTCTAGGTTTCAGAACAGCAGTTGCAGAGTCTGACTTTCCAGTCACAAGTTTCAAAACACCAGCTGCAGATTTTGACTTTCCAGTTTCAGAATCCAAGTTTCAGAACCCATGTTTCAGAATCCGACCGGTTAGTTTCCGAATCCGGCTCTAAGCCGTAAACTTGGAGTGCTTAGGGATTGCGATGTGATGCTATGTGTATTTTGCGCGTTTCCAAAGCAAACTAGGAAATTGCAGGAGCTGTTTCGATCAAGCAAAGTTCTTCAAGGATTTTTTTGCCTGAAGAAACCCTGTTCCGGGTAGTAACTAGTAGTTTTTCCTCACACTAGCTACTCCTACAACTCCTATCCCTCCCGACCACCCCCTGCCAGATTTTGCACAAAAAACGCAATTCCAAGCTTCAACCCTAAGCTGTCACCAATCCTGGCCAAGGTGGAGAGCAGTTGTTTGACTTCACCGAGTCAAGCTCGTGGCCGATTCGGAGCATTGATGTCGAGTTGACTCTTCCATGCAAGTGAGTCTTCTTTCCAAGTTACACTGCGTGCGTTGACAATCATGATTTCTTTCGAAGGAATTTGGAAATGGCCAAATCTGGCCATGCCCGCTTCGTTCTCTTCTCCAGAGCCAGATCTCGTGAAATGACATTGAAAACTATCAGGCCCGCTATCTTGCAGGCGTGCACCGTACTCCTGCTCTTGTTGCTTTTGCAATGCTTTGGCGGAAAACCGCTCAATGCCTGATGCCGGAGACGTATTTTGGCAGGCCGGAGAGGGCTGCGAGACCTGGAATGGTTTGGCAGCCACTTTGAGCGCAATGAGGCCAAATGGTGAACAAACCCAGTACTGAACAAACCAAGACTATGCGTGCTTCGATAGATTCTGCCAAATAACTGAATATAAGAGAGTTGCGGCAAGTCATCATTCAAAAATAGCGTGGCTGCGTCCAAGCAGTTCTACTCTACTCAACCTTTTCCTTTTCTTTGGCCCTTTGGACCTTTCGTCCCTCCATCTTTCCGTCCTTTATTCATTCAGCTGTTTATTTCTGTGTTTTTCATCTCAGTTGTCCTTAGAAGCATTGCACCTCCAACAGTGACCCAGCAGTGCGTCCCACGCCCTGTACTCGCTAAGGCAGCGGCGTTGTCGATGCAATTTTTGCTTGTAAGCGTATTTGATGATTGCTCCAAATATCAAGTCTGCGCCCTGATGGTGGTTGTGCCATAGCAGGGCAAAAATTAGATTTTGCGCAACGTCTGTGTATGTATATATATATAATATGGGTGGCTCAAGATATCGGCTCGTGCACTGGTCTCCCTCCAAATCCAGTGAGTGCGGTCCACCCTTTTGCTACGTATCGTTGGCTTGCCTTTCACGAGAGCACTGGCGCTACAACCATCCTTCTCTTGGACTACCACCGGGGCCTTGACTAGCTCTTTGGCAGCCACTGCTGAATTTACTTGGACCACCTTGCTATGAACATCACCTGCGCTTACTGTCCTTGCCCAACGGAAGAGCGCAAAAATTAGATATGGGAGGACAAGATCAAGACGTACGCGAAATGCCGATTTTGTGGGACCAACTGGACGAGCGCCGCCTCCGCAGGAAGCCACGGACGCCCTTCAAGGGACATGGAATGCACTGGACCCTGAAGTCCAAAAGAAGTTCCAGGCCATTAGGCCCCACACCGGCACAGCCAGAGCGCCGAGCTCACACAGGTCCTCAAAGACTACCTCGCAGACCTCCCTGAACCAGTCAAGGCCCTGGTTCACAGACTGACGCAACCTCTACCTGCCACGGAGCAATCAGTGGCCACTCTCTTGAAGCAGCAAGTGGGTGAGCTGAACTCTTTGTCCACGAGGAAGCAGACTCTGCAATCCAAATTGGACCACACCAGGACATGCTGGAAGACATGAAGCACAGAAACGCTGCATCGCCAGCGGAAAAGGGCGGACACCAGCAGTGCAGGCACCGAACCTGGGAGACAAAAGTGAAGAAACCACATGGGAGACAAAAGAATATAAATACTGTATGGCCAGCGGAAAAGGGCGGGCCCCGGCCAGCGGAAAAGAGTGGACACCGGGCGGACGCATCTTAAGAAAGAATTGAGAAGCCCTAAGCCGTACCTTTTGGTGAATTATTCTTCAAGTGCGAACATGATGCTGGTCATGCTGCTCAATCAGCGGGGAGCTGACCGCGTGAGGACAAGAAATGAAAGCGTGAGGAGCGAAGGATGTGACGTGAAATTGATTTTTGGTGCTTGACGTATGCCCTCCGTCCCAACTGAACAGAGAGATCGCTGCCACGCCGCCGAAATCCAATCCGGTCATTCATCCAACGCTTGCCCGGAAAGGAAAACAAAGCTGAGAACCTGTTCCAGCGGACAGTGCAGGAAACAGCAGTGCAGGCACCAAACCTGAAAGACAAAAAGAAAGAAATCGCATGGGAGACAAATGAATAGAAATGCTACATGGCCAGCGGAAAACGGCGGCAGCACCAGTGACAGACCCGGGAAACAAATGAATAGAAATGCTGCATGGCCAGCGGAAAAGGGCGGCCAGGTCTGTCACTGGTGTGTCCTTGTCTATTGGCCATGAAGCATTTATCTATTCATTTGTCTCCCAGGTCCGTCACTGCTGGTGCCATGTAGCATTTCTATTCATTTGTCTTTCAGGTCTGTCACTGGTGGTGTCCGCCCTTTTCCGTTGGCCATGTAGCATTTCTATTCATTTGTCTCCCATTTGTCTCCCAGGTCTGTCACTGCTCGTGTCCGCCCTTTTCCGTCGGCCATGCAGCACTTCTATTCATTAGTCTCCCAGGTCTGTCACTGTTGGCGCGCGCCCTTTTCCGCTGGCGACGCGACGTTTCTGTACATTTCTATTCTACTCATTTCTATTCACTGCTGGTGGGACAAAAGAATAGAAATGCTACATGGCCAGCGGAAAAGGGCGGACACCACCAGTGACAGGCCTGGGAGACACATGAATAGAAATGCTACACGACAAGCGGAAAAGGGCGGACTACATGGCCAGTGAGATGGGCGGACACCAGCAGTGACACAAAAGGGCGGACACAAATGAAAAGAAGTGGCAAACAAATGACAAGAAGTGGGAGACAAATTGAAAAGAACTGGGAGACAAATGAAAGGAAGTAGGAGACAAGCCGGCCGGGAACCCGACCATTCTTTAAAGCGTTGCGAACCCCCAACAGTAAACTGTTTGGGGAATGAGGTGACGCTTGACTTTTTGGATTGTGGAGGTGTCCAAAGGTACCAAGTTTCCCCACCCAGGTCTCTTGTATTGCTCAATGTGTGAACGCAGATGACCTAGCTCTGTGGGTGGCCGTGCGGGTATGTCTTGAACCACCTTTGCCTAAGTCACTAAACTGTAGTTTTTCGGTGGGTGAGGCCCATCTAGAAGCATAGTCTCGGAACCTGTGCCCCTTTCACCCAAAATTGCCAGAGCAAGCTATCTCCTCCCTATAGTTTCTGCGCGTGGGTCTATTGGACACCTAAGTAAATTGTTTTGTGAGTGCGCAAACCGTGCGTATAGAACAGGAAGGTTACCGATTCACGCGGGTTTGCCGGATCACGTGCACATGTGCTTTACACTTGCATATTTGATCAATGTTCTTAGGCATGTTGAGCAGTGTGCATTTCTTGGACAGTCTCCGATTCCCAGGTCTTTGGCATACATGGGGCTGCCCAGTTGCACAAAGCTTACTGCATCATTCCCGCGGCGATTTTGAGGCTGAGGAAAGCAACCCCCAAATCAAGGAACTTACAACCTGAATCAAAACAGGTTTTCTTTTGCCATTGCAGCTGCTGGTGTCATGTCTCTGAGGCCACTTCATTGGAACCTGCCTCGGCAATTGCGTCAGCCAATGAGGAGAGGTTCTCAAAGGGTGTTACAAACTTAACCAACGCTGTATAGTCAGACTGACTACATTTTCGCTCTCAGATTCAGCAAGCATCTGCAGCTTGCGCTGTGACGTCGAAGCTGAAGGCCACAGCTTGTGAGCTTTAAGCGTTAGTCGCCACAAGTTTGGAATTGCTTGTCACCTTGTGCAGGTGCGCTTTTATGGGCATCCATGTCCCAGCTATTCAAAGACGGGCTATTTGTGCCAGTGGTCTCGCAGCGTCCCAGCATTTTCAGAGGCCGGTTGCTAAACAATGCTTTTGGGTATTTTTGTGTTTCACGAAGGCATGGTGCCACCTGAGTTTTGTGCTGAGGGAGTTGCTGAAAATGATCCTGTCGCAGAGATTTTGTCGGACCTGGTGGAGCCTGGGACAAGCTAAGCCGGTTCGCGTGCGTTGTTTTGCTAAGGGGTACCCGCTCGCCCCCGCAGGAAAAACGGTAAAAAAGAACAACAACGCTATTTACAATTTTTACCGTGCGGGTGGTAGAAAAAAGGAACGACCCCCGCGGTAAACGCGGTAGAAAATAGATTATCGATTCTTTACCGTTTTTACCACGCGGGGGTTCAAAAGAGGGCGACCCCCATGGTTAAAGACATGGTAAAACAGGTTTTGTTCCCCACATGTCTGTGTGGGGTTCTAGTTTTGTTGGCTGCCATCCCGCCCGACTCCGTCCTTCCGTCCTTCCCTCCGTCCTTCCGTCCTTCCGTCCTTCTCTTACACACACAATCATCTTGTCATCTGACCTCTTTCCCTCATTTGTTTGTTGTCGTCATCTACTCGCCCTTCTTGTCATCTCACATCTCACACACACAATCATCTCATCATCTCACGCACACACACACACACTCATCTTGTCAACTCACATCTCACATTCACACACACAATCATCTCATCATCTCACACACACACACACTCATCTTGTCATCTCACCTCTTTCTCTCATTTCTCTCAGTGTCTTTCATTCTCTGATTTCATCTCCACTTGATCTACTCGCCCTTCTTGTCATCTCACAGTCACACACACAATCATCTAGTCGCCCTCATCCACTCACAACTTCATCTATTCGCCCTTCTGGTCACATCTCACACCCGCAGTGGCCGGCGTAGTCTCCAGAGACTGCAGAAGGGGCTGCGGCGCGCGTTGTCGCCGCTGGGGGCCCGGCTCTCTCCGCAGGGCCGGCGCAGTCTCCAGAGACTGCAGAAGGGGCTGCGGCGCGCGTTGTCGCCGCTGGGGGCCCGGCTCTCTCCGCAGTGAGACTGCAGAAGGGGCTGCGGCACGCGTTGTCGCCGATTGCAGAAGGGACTGCGGCGCGCGTTGTCGCCGCTGGGGGCCCGGCTCTCTCCGCAGTGGCCGGCGCA